TACAACCATACTATATACAGACTTTTTATGATGTATTATTGTAGATTATACACAGTACAGAGTAGCACAATATTCTGTAGTGTAGAGGTGACTTTGATGTGCTATGACCTGGTCTTACGCAGCTTGTACTTGACATTCGAAACTAGTGTTAACAGTTCAAGTGTTAACAGTTAAAGCAAACAAACAGCAACGACATTGAACAATGACAGTGTTATGACCTGACAGCTGGCATGGGGACAGTACAAACCATGCATGGAGACATGACAGCCACATGTGACAGATGGTTCCACCTAACCAGTAAACCTTACAGACCATCACCTGTGTTGGACCTCAACATCCCCTTCAGCTTGTTTCCAAATTTGGACACGGCAGCAAACGGCTCCATGCTCTTCTTACCTGCAGACCTGGAGGGGGAAGGAGAGTTAAATTTTAGCTCTTTGTCGATGTGAAGTCAATACAACATTTATCTCCAGGACCACATATTATACATGTACATGTACATCTGCCATTTGTGTGAGATCTCTAGTGCAGATCTCTGTTCAGATACATTTTTTTCAGGTTGGTGTATGTGACCATGTGGAATTATTAGATGATACCATATAGTAATGATGATGATGATGAATGTCATACATGTATACACAAAACGTACAGTACGTAACAATAGAAAGTAGGTGGAACCACATCATGAGCTACTAACTCTACTAAAACATTAACTTGTTAAAATACAACACACAATTCATGGACTTCACACCGTCAATCACAAGACAATAATTTGCACCACACAAAAAAACAACAACATCCATAACACTGCCATAGTTTACTCACTTGCACGAATTGACCATGTTAGTCATGGCAGAGATAGGAATATTTTCAACGGAGGCCGAGCCAGTCGGCAAATTCAGTCCCACACTCACTGTCTCAGACTTCCCATCATAAAGTACACTCTCTAGGTTAGGGCTATGTCCAGAGCAGCAGAGAAGAAGTGAGGCAAACGTGGTTAGGAAAAAAGGAGGATGCATGTCGAGATGATAAGACTTTTGCTGAAGACATCTTGTGCCCTGATCTACCGTCACTGAACAAGAATGCTTAACAGATTAGTGCATGGAAAGCTCAATCAGACTTTAACATGTCAGTGTGATAAGGTGATAGTAGGATGGGGACAATGTGAAGAGATGGTGCAGTAACAGTAACAAACATTAAGTGTAAAAGCAGCAAAATAATGTCTTCAAACATATAAGATCACAGGCATTTCTTTGACTGTACAAAATTTATATCAGAGAAATTTTATGAATAAATTTTTACATTTCTTTAGGTTTGCGTAAAAGTATGCAACATGGACATGTACAGAAAGCTGGGTGAAAGAACAAACAGTATGATGCTGTACACACAACACACTGAACATCAGACAAACCTGGAATGACTTTTACACAGCTGTGTTATGATGTTAGAGAGCAGCATGTGCTGGTGGAGGATATACATGTACTACAGAAGGACTCATTCAACAACTACCTTGAAGCTGACTTGGGAATGTTGGTTGGCAAACGGCCCCCACACAACATGGTGTAGTACTGCAGCATGGAAATAGATAACATTAAGATTAATGTTTTCAAGAAGGCACCACTTACAAAATTCAGATTATGATTGAAAAATATGTGCATAATTAATACAGCTAATCACTCACATCATCGCTCTGGTAAAATAGTGGCAGGAAGGTGTTTTCCAAAAGTCCATAGGCATGCTCATACGCACTGGAAAACAAGACAAGATGTGGTAAGTACAATACTAAAATACAATACTATAATAGGCATTTTTGTGACTTTTATACATTCAACATTCAGACTTTAAAATGACATAATTGAAAGAAGGAACTACAGCTAATAAGTAACTGACAGGAGGACAAGAATGGAAAACTATGGTTTGTTGTCTTACCTGAAAAGAGGGGTACTTGTTCTCAGCCTAGTCACACCTTCAGGTGGCCCCTCCACAACTACAGATTCAGGGACAGACATGTCGATAGAGATTTATGCATTACACATATTCACTGAGATCAGCAGTTGACATGTGAAGACATTTGAAATTCCACTACCAGAATCTGAAAAAAAATCTTGTGTCTTTCTACTATATATATTTCTGTACACTTAAATAATCTACAAATAACGTCACTAACTTGACTTAATCTCTGTGGTAATGTCTCCAGGAAACTGGATCTTGTCCACAGCATCAGACTTGAAGTACATCTCATAGATCATCTTGGCCTCCTGGTGGAGGTCAATCTTCTGTTGGTCAGTCATGTCTGGGTTCAGACTCCTCCTGTTGAAGTCCTCTGTTTTTACACACAAGATTTGGCATTACAGAAGTCAGTGTTGGACCAATTGCTCTTCACAGAATTATGTTGCTGATTCTTCATACTGTAAAATGCATTTACCTTTGCAGTGGTTTTATATTGCAAGAAAAGTATCTTTTTTTGAAGTTATTTGCAGTTGAAACAATCCTGAAGTACAGTAGGAGTATAAAACACATACATGTATTTGCAGTGTTATGATTTTGTGGTAAGACTTACTAAGAGGTTATGGTGAAAATACATGTAAAACCTCTGAAACAAAAGTATTGACTGATAGTGCAGTGTAAATGCCAATAGCCACTTTGCCGTGAACAGTACCACTGATGATAGGATACTGACCAACAGACAGACAGAACTGCAGCACGTGGACAGATGCCTCGTCCTTCAGGAACTGCATGAAGCGGAACAGTGTGGTCTGGTTGTTCATGATGTCTGGCAGGTCCAGTCTTAGTGCCTGGAAAGAGCAATGTTTACAACACTTTAGCATGCTTTTATGTACATATCTTTTGATATCACAACACATGATTTGTTAAGAGTTAATGTCTATCTTTAACAACCACACTCTTTGTGAGGCATATCAACCACATCACATAAATTTATCATATTGTACTTGTTATAGATGTCTACATGTATTATGATAACTAAATAAAGAGAGGGTCATACAGATTCAGTGGGAGCCTGTCTGGGCTGGCTGAAGTGAGCGAGCAGGTCCACATCATGAGATGGGGGTTCTGTAGCCACTGCCATCTGTTCAGCACAAAATAGGGGTTGAATTAAGGGGCATCATGTAGTAAAACACAATTCATCACAAAAGTGAAATAGTTAAGAAAAAAAAGGATACAACTTACTGGAGTTTCATCAAGGAAAATCAGCATCAAGTTGTTCACAAAGTCCTGCAGGGTGATAGAAGTAAAACATTAGTTTTCATTTATTCATTTCTACCCCATAAATTCATTTTGTCTTCCAAAAACACATTTCAAAGACATACAACACACTTACAGGATCAGCTATTTTGTCAATGGCAGGCATCAAGACTGAGGCTGACAACAGCTCTCTCAGCAAGGCACACAGGCTCCTGTAAAACACATTTCAAAACACATTAAGCCCTTAAGTACAATGTATTCATTATATCAAATAAACAAACATACAAAGATAAAAATTCCATTTTAAATATTGTGAACAACAAGTAGTGGATGAAAGAACAAAATAAAACCTACTTGCACTTGAGTGACCTTGCGGGTAGAATGTAGGGGAAAATTTCCCCTGACAGGTGGCGGAGGTACTGCAGTTCTGTGCGTCTGCTCTTCATGACACAGTGGAGCTCTGAGCCGTACAGCTCTAGTGTGGCCTTCTCTAGATCAGCTCCAGGTGGGGCTAGCACAGGTCAACAATGTAGCACAGGTTAGCAATATGGTTCACAGAAATGTTATCATGCTACCATCAAAAAACATGGTACTGGTTTTCAGACCATTTCACTTCATAAGATGGAGATGTGCATACGAAAACTCTTGAGACAAAGTAGTCATTCATTGGTGTTGGAAATTTGCTTTATTCGTCCTTTTCATGAATTATTATTGACAAAGTGAAATCTTTAATGTTCTCTCTATTGCTTGCCTATCATCAAGTACATTGTTTACAGCAGAAAGTGTCACTCAGACAGTCAAAGACTGTATCACCAGTCCACTCACCTGACTCCATGGCCCGGACGTACTTGTCCAGGTGACTCATGGCAGCTTTGATCAGCTTGTTGACAATAAAGGTTGGGAGGTCCGTCTATATGAAATATAACACAAAACACATGTCATTAGTACAGTAATATAGGTAAAAATGCTTTAGATTCAACACTCCTATAAGGAGGGAAAATATCAACTGCACAAAGTTGTCATTTTAGTAAGAAGCTAAAAGTTACTTCTCAAGTACCTTTTTGACCCTCCTTATAAGACATGATAGGATGAACCTCAGGCTGACCCTCATTTCATCCACAAAAGCCTCGTCTGTGCTCAGGTCTCTGGAAATAGTTTGATGTTAAGATTGTGTTAAAACAATAAATAAAGGTGAACAGAAATTTTCATTTGCCAATCACGAGATATTTGAAAGCAGCATGATCATACTTACCTGTACCAGGTGTAAACAAAATCCCTCAAGACCAGCTCCAGAAACTGGAAAAGTACAAAACATAGTATTTCTTAATGTTACAGAAAGTACTATCCATTCCTCCAGATAAGAAACAAGCAATGCTTAAATGTAATGTTACATGTACACCATGGAGTGAAAGAAAGCTAAATATTCTACATTGAAGTAGTATTTACAGGTAATACAAACAAACAAACAACAATGGGAATGTAGCTGACCTCGGACAATGCCATGTCCACTTTTTCCGTCACCTTCAAACTGGTCCATGGCTGGAGGTCCAGTATGGACAGACCAGGCCTGGGGAGGAATGAAAACAGAGAAGCTGTCAGGTAACCATGACCAGAGTTTGTATTGTGGTAGAATAGTTCAAAACTTACATGTACAGATAAAAGACATTACATACACATGCTGACAAGCTTGACAGACTCTTTACATCTTGCAGCTTATACTGCTAGTATAGTATGTAATAAGAAAATAGAGAAAAAGGTACAAAACATCACCTGTGCCTAGCACATCTGGGGTCCCCACATACAGGGCAGCTTTTTCTCAGGGCCTCTATTTCCAGGTCATCCAACATTGGCTGCAGGGAATGGAACAGATATCAATGGTCTAGCTTTTGGTTTTAGTTGTTACATAAATGTTGGCCCCAATAGAGCAAATTACACAAATGATTTGTAAAAATTTACTAAAATGATAAACCGCATCCTAAAATGACCAGCAAAATACAATGATTCTGATTTGAATAAAAGTTCATCATCTTCCCAGGACAACGTTGAACATACCTGTTTCTTGCGGTTGTACATGATGAGGAAATTGGGCATCATGTTTTTGTTTCTTCTGTAAAATAACAGACAAAAATGATGCATGAATAAAACTGCATGTACTATTTTGACATAACCGAAATCGCCAAGTTGTGAAATTGAAACTGAAAAAGAATGATTAAAATATACTCTATACCATAACACTTGCTTGCAAATTAATTTAGCAGTTCCTTTCCATGTACATCGTAATATCAAGCACTTACCCAAAAAACATGTAGCAGAGTACCATTCCACCCACAAATGACCAGAAGATCATGAAGATATGTGCATAGCTGTGGAAACAAGAAGCAGAATTATTTCATTATATATGGGTCAATCATGTGTATATTTGTCTTACTACTACTACTACTGATACTATATGCTGATACTGACCAACAGCATGCCATCTTAATTGTATGCGGAAACAAACATCAGCCTCAGGTCAAGTCCCACCTGGTCCAACTGACATGCTAAAGGCTGTTCAAATACTAGTAAGAAAATTGTTGTGAGGAAAGGGTACATCAGAAATTAGCCATACCCATGTGTACCTTTGTTCCATGTACATTTGTTACACATACCTGTGTGCTCTATAAAACTAAATCAAAGCACCTACATTATTGTTGCATGCCACTTTTTCATCCTTCAATGTTTACCATTTTAGCCACATATCACAGACAGATGGTTCGGTGTTACATGTATTTTACATTATTTTTGGTAGAACTGTTTTTTTTAATCTCTGGGATTCACCATGGAGGTTTAACCTCCTTGGGCTCACACAGGACCTTTTGATCTTTTGTGCACAAACCTTAATTGTATCATTAAGTTTTCACACATGCCTGAAATAATGCATACATGTACATCCAAACAAGGCAAATCATGATGGTGCACATGCATGAACTGGGAAGATCCAACAATCAATATCAATACAAGACAAAGATACCTAGAGGACATCCACTCCAGTACTGCACCACTTCAGATTGGCATCGAAGATGGGAAAACAGAAAATTACTATTGACTATTCTGGCATCCATCCAAACAGTTAACAATAATAATATTATTAATATAAACTTCTTCCACTCTCAGTTCTCAGTTTCAATAGCAAATGGCATTCACTGACTTTCACATTAAAATTACATCCTTAAAATCATCAGTATAGTTTCACAGAGGTTGTTGATAGTTGATGAATTAAGCATTAATGACATTTTATTAGATATACTGGGGGTAGGTTGGAGTGGTTAGGGCACTTTCATTTAATATAATGGCCAGCAGGGTATACCAGAAATATTTGTACCCAAAAAGGCAACAGTTGTCAATGTGTGTACCTAGTAAAATAAAGGCTTTCCCTTACTTCTCTATCTTACCCTCCCCCTTCGCTTTGATCAACATACATGTTAATCGTAGCAATGTCACCTTGGAAACATCTCCTATAGGTGACACCTGATATCATAAAATCATAAAGTTTTATATAGTGTCTTGTGTCTTATGAAATAACACTGACTGATGTGATTCAACAGTGATACCAAACTATCATTTCACCACACGTTTTGGAATGTCCCCAGCCCATAATAAGCCCACTGTATCTGCCAGATTCAATGTCCATATGATGGGCGTGGGCGATTTTATACCGGTGAGCAACATCACCTTTATTTCGTCAATGGCTAGCTAGGTTTATAACGTTACAGCTAAATAGACAAGGGTCTAGAAGTTCTGGGTAATACATGGTTTCATGATGTAACTGAGGTTACCTGTACATGATGACTGTGGCCAGGAACAGCACGGCCCCGGCCGCAGAAAACCTGGAGTGACGACGGAACAGATCCATCATAACACCGATCGCCATCTTGGCCCAGCTGAGGAGGGATAAACCGTTGTTCGTCCTTCAGGCATGCGGGGATGTCGTTAAAATGATAATAATGAAAATGAATTGACCTAAAAAAACTTAGACAATATAGTTAGACACTAATAAAGAAACATAATTTTTAAACCAAATAGGGTGCTTAAAACAT